AGGGTTCATTCACTGAGACATGCTGAGTCTGTATTTTATTTATCAGAAACTTTCTTGGCTTTTGTATCTTTTAGTTTTGAAAAAAGTCAGTGTCAGCCTCCCTATTTCACAGCAGGGAAAGTTGAGGCCCAGGAGACTCAGTTCCCCAGGAAAACAGAGAAAAGTGGGGCGAGTCCAGGAGTGGAGCCCAGGGGTCCTGGCTTCAGATCCTGGGCTCTTTGGGGAAGAACATGACCAGAGCAGGAGGGAGGGAGTGTAAGGGCCAGGCTGGGCAGCACAGCTTATAGCATCTGGGCTCACTGTGATTCCCATCCTGGCCTGGCCAAGACAAGGACCCCCTCAGCCTACATGTGGGCGTGTCAGCAGAGCTGTGCCCAGGTTAGAGCTGGGGAATCTGTGGGGATGGGAAAGGCTGCTTTGTCTGTCCTGGTCTGGGCCTGCTGTCCCTGGTCTGCATTATTGATTGGTCCTCTCTCTCCTGAGCAAGTGGCAGTAACGGGGGTCTCATGGTTACCCACTCTAGGGCAACTGAGTCTTCAGGAGACCACAGGCCTGCAGGTTCAGGAGAGCTCACTCTCAGGGGTCCCCCCTGGCCCCAAAGCCTCCCCTGGGCTGAGCTCAGGGTCAGGGCCAGGTCAGGGTCCTGTGGGGCTGAGCCTGTTGGCTGGGCCTGGGAGGCAGCATCTGTGCAGAGAATGAGGAGGGGGAGCAAGAGAGGGGTGCAGGTCATATGAGGACACCCAGAGCTCTGCCTCTGAGCCCACAGCTGAGCACAGGCTCCCTTCTGCCCTCACTACTCCCCATGACAATGCTCCTCCGTCTCAAGATGGGCTGGAGAGAACTCTCAGTGCTTCTGGGTGGGTTAAATGGATCTGGTTCATGTGGAGTTTTCACCTCTCATATCTTGTAGGAACGTTCTTGTCCATACTTTAATTAAAAAAATAAGGACTTAAGGGATTTGGACATTGCAACGGTTGTCTGTGAAGCTCACAGTGATGGCAAAAGTGTCTTCCATGACTTCTTGTGACCCTGATGGTCTTTTTCTCTTAGTCCCTCTCTTGCTGCCCTTTCTGTTCCAGGCAGTTGTGTGGGTGTGGCTGACCCCTGGGCTGGGCTCTCAAAATGGTAACAATATTTGATGACAGTGACTCAGCACTGACCGTGTGCTGTGCTTTGCCCTGTGCTGCAGCTCTGCCCACAAGATCTCATTCAACTGTGGAATCTGAGGGAGGAATTGTTTTCATCCCAGCACAGGCTCCTGTGCAATGCACTTCCCAGCAGAGCCCAAGTGAGGAGGGTCCCTGGGGATAAAGGAAGCCCCATGATAAAAGCCTCAGCTTAGGGACAGGCGGCAGGATCTGAGGGGTGAGCAGAACCGGTGGGTAAAGGACAGAGGGGGCTGGAATCTCCTGGTGCTGGGTTAGCAGGGCCAGTGAGCGGGATCCTGCAGTGACCAGCTCCTCACTTGGCTCCATCCTCACTGTCTCCTTTTGCTTACATCTTCAGGGCCTTCCTTCTTCACCTTGATTTAACATGTGTGCCTCATTTACTTTGTGCTCTCACATGGGGACCCAGGTGGTGGATGCTGGGGTGGGAGAGGTGAAGGGCGTTTCTATAGCTGTGTCTCTTGATCCGTTCACTGCAGATTTTTTCTCACTATTTTATTGTGGTAAAACATACTTGACATAAAATTTACCATCTCAACCAATTTTATATGTCCAGGTTATCTCAGAATCCTCTTTCTGTTCACAGTGAATTTGTGTATGTCCTGCATTGGGAAGCAGTATTGGGGGGAACATTCATCATGAACTCTCACTTAGATTTTTGTGTCTTTTTATTTTGTAGATTTATTGTATGTAGCCTAGTGGGGTCTTGCTTTTATATTCAATCCGATAATGTCTGTCTCTTAATTGTGATATTTAGACCATTTACAATGAATATTGTTATTAATATATTTTAAATGTAACATCTTAATTTTATTTTCTTTGTCCCATCTGTTCTTTGTTCCCTTTTTTCTGTTATCTGTTTCTTTTTGATTGAGTATTGTTGTAATTCCATTTTATGTCCTTTTTTGTCTTTCCAGTTATAACTCTTTGCCATAGTATTATCTGTAACTTGTTGAAGTCTACATTCAGGTGATGTTATATTATGTTGCATATAGTATAAGAACTTTATAACATGTTTCCGTCTCTTTCCTCTCATTCTTTTAGCTATCGGTGTCAAACATTTTACTTTTATGTACGTTATATATTTCAACATACATAGTTGTTATATTTTGATTTAGTCAGTTAGTTTTCTTTAAAGAGATTTAAATAATAAAGAAATCTCATATTTATCCCTGTAGGGATACAGAAATGTATCCCATTTCTGACTCTTTTTATTAATTTTTGTAGAGTCAGATTCTTTCTGGTATCACTTTCTTCTGCCTGAGGGGTGTTCACTATTGTATCCTGGATTTCAGCTCTGCTCATAATCAATTCTGTTAGTTTTTGCATGTCTGAAGAGTTTTTTATTTAGCCTTCATTTTTGAAAGATATTTTCACTGGGTAAGGAATTAAGGTGTTTTTTTAATTTTTTTTTTTCATTCAAGCATTTTAATTTTTGTTTATTGTGGTAACATTGGTTTATAACATTGTATAAATTTCAGGTGTACATCATTATACTTCTATTTCTGCATGGATTACACCAGGGTCTCATGTTCACCACCCAAATACTAATTACAATCCATCACCACACACATGTGCCTAATTATACCCTTTGCCCTCCTCCCTCTCCCCTTCCCTTCTGGTAACCACCAATCCAATCTCTGTCTCTATGTGTTTGTTTGTTGTTGTTATTATTTTCTACTTAATGAGTGAGATCATACGGTATTTGACCTTCTCCCTCTGACTTATTTCACTTTGCATAATATCCACTGTCTTCTCTCTTACATTTTTTCCAATGAGGAATCTTGGGGATTCCTTATCTTTGTTCCGCTGATTATAGTGTCTTTTTACTCTGGATGCTTTTAAGACTGTCTCATTTTCAATATCATAAACTATTTGATATTGATATTTGTTGTTGTTTTCTTTTTTTGTGACTTGTGTTTGTTGAGCTTTTTCGTTCTGTGGGTTCAGGGTTTCCATCAAATTCAGAACATTTTTGGCCAGTATTTTTTCAAATATTGTTTTCAATATACCTGCCCCATCTTCTATAATTCGGAGACTCCAATTATATCCATACCACTTAACAGCTTCTGTCATTTGGACCTAATTTGGACAAAGCACTGCACCATCAACTCTTAACTGAATATGGAGGCTTCCTGCTTGCCCTACAGATTTGGGACTTGTTAGCCCAACAACTACATGGGCCAGTTCCTTAAAATCTCTCTCTCTCTCTCTCACTATAGATAGATAGATAGATAGATAGATAGATAGATAGATAGAGATATCATTATCTATCTATATCTATTTTGATATCTTGTGTATATATCAGACAAATGTGTGTATGTATTTATCTATCTTTCATCTATCTATCCTCTATCTATCTATCTATCTATCTATCTATCTATCTACTATCTTCTATTGGTTCTGTTTGTCTGGGGAACACTAACTAATATACCAGGGTTTAGCAACTATAAATCTTTCTTGTTAAATGGATTTTATTTGAATATTTTCTTTAGGGTCACATCACTAATCTAACTTATCAAGGTCTACCGTCTGGTGATAGTCTATCAAGTCACATATAGTATTGAAGTATTTTAACATGTTCTTCTCTCCCCCAACTTTTGTGCAATCATTGTCAGATATTTTACTTATGATATTCATTAAAAATGAAGGCATTTTTTTGCTTTACACAATTATCTTTCTAAACATTAACATAAAGTTAATGTTTCTATATTTATCCATGTAGTGGACATCTGATGCTTTTTACTTCTTTGTGTAGATTCACATTTCTTGCTGGTATAAAATTGCTTCTTTCTGAGGGGTGTCTGTTACTAACTCTTGGTGAGGATCTGTGTGTGATCAATTATGTAAGTTTTCATACGTCTGAAAAAGTTTTATTTTACCTTCACATTTGAAAGAGATTTTCACTGCACAAGTAACTCAAGGTTGACAGTATTTTCTTTTCCTTTAACGTATACTTTAAAAGCTTTTCTCTTAAACATGTTGCTCCACTGTCTCTTTATTTGCATTGCTTTTAATGAGAAATCTGCTTTTACCATGATGTTTGTTCCCCTGTAGATAACACGTATTTTCTCTAGGCTGCTTTTAATATTGTCTCCTCATCACTGGTTTTCAGCGGATTAATTTAGATGTGTGTTGGTGTTGTTTCCTCAAGTTTCCTGGGCTCGTGCTTTGTTGAGCTTCTTGGATACGTCAGTTATTTTCTTCACCAAGTTTGGAACATTTTAGCCATTATTTCACTAAATACTCTTTGGCTTCACCCCTGCCAGTGTTCTCTGCTCTCAGACTCCATTACATGCATATTAGGCTGCATGAATGTGTCCTACAAATCACTGAGGCTCTGTTCATTTCTGTGAGTCTATTTTTTCTTTGTTTTATTTTGCATAGTTTCTACTTACATGTTATTAATTTCAACAGTCTCTTCCTTTGCAGCATCTAATCTGTTGTCAATCAAATAAAGCGGATTTTTAAATCTCAGACATTGCAGTTTTCATCTGCAGAAGATAATGTGGTCCTGTTTAAATATCATCCAATATCTGCACTTAATCTTCAATCATCCTCTAGTTCTTTAGATAAATGAATTTTTGTTACAATGATAATTTTTGTATTGTCTCCTGATCTGTCATCTGCAGAGCCTGCCTGGCGGGCTGGGTGGAGTGGGCAGACTCAGGATCTCAGATCTGGAGACCTAGGCCAGACCCGCTTGAGGCTTTGTCTACAGTCCTCCTGGGGCTGGAGGAGAGTGTGACACAGATGCAGAGGGGTTTGTGTCTCACATCCCCATCAGCCTGTGTCACTGTGTGCTGTTGACCACTGTGGTCCCACAATTGACAGTAATAGTTGGCCTAGTCCTCAGCCAAGGCCCCAGTGAAGGTCAGGGTGGCCGTGTTCCCTGAGTAGGAGCCAGAGAATCGGCCTGGGATTCCTGAGGGCCAACTGACATACCCATAGATGGCCAGCACAGGGGCCTGGCCTGGCTTTAGCTGGTACCAGTAAGCATAATAGCTTTTTATGCTCTCTTCCTGGCAGGTGATGGTGGCCGTCTGTCCCAAAGCCACGGACACCAAAGGTGGCTGAATCAACTCAGAAGAGGCCACAGAACCTGCAAGAGAGGAGAAGTGAGGTGAATCTGAGGATGAGGGTCTCATTCCCAGAGGGCACACACCCTGCAGCCTCCCCTCTGCAGAGCTGAAGGTCAGGGCGAGGCTGCTCCCCGGTTTCTTCGGGGGCTGAGCCCTGAGGGGCAGCACCTGTGCAGAGAGTGAGGAGGGGGAGCAGGAGAGGAGTCCAGGCCATGGTGGAGATGCCCCAGAGCTCTGCCTCTGAGCCCACAGCTGGGGATGTGCCTCAGGGCCTCTCTTATTCTCTGAAGAAATGCAAATCTACTTCCTTCCTTTTTGTGGCCTTGTTGGGTATCTCCATGCTGAGTAGAAAAGGGCTTTGCTTAAAGGAGGCTGTGCAAGTGAGTCCTATTCCCAAGGCCTGTACCTGAGTCCTCAGAGCTCTCTCTGGTGTTGAGTGAGAAAGTGCTGACTTCTGCCCCCAGTACATGCACACACACCTCAGTCTGTGCCCTGGGCATCCTCTCTGGGCTTGAGGAGAACCCCTCAGTCATGATCTCTAGTGATGGGTCATCCGTGGGGGTGGGCTGGGCAGTGCTTGAAGCAGGAGCCTGTAGGGACAGAAGTCATACTGTTGTTTGAGAGGACAGAATTCTTGATCAGATACAGAGAAATTGCTCATGAACCTCTCAGGAAATCCTTTTTTTTTTATCATGTTTTAGGAAAAAAAAAAAAGCAAGCATGGGGAAAATCTCTGGATCTAGGGCTAGGCAATAATTTTTTGATGACAACTGAAGCATGTTTCATAAAAGGAAGATTAATATATTGAACCTCATCAAAATCGGTATCTTTTACTTCGTAAAATTTCTAAAGAGGATGAAAAATACAAGTAACAGACAGGAAATATTTGCAAATCACAAATGCAGTGAATGACTAGTGTATAGAGTATATACAGAACTCTCAAAACTAAAGCATAAAAATAAAATCCATTCAGAAAATATGCAATGAACTAGGACAAACATTTCATGGAAGAGGATATAGAGATGGCAAAGAGCACCTGAAAGGATGCTCCTCATCAGCCATGAGGGAAATGCACATGAAAACCACAAGGAGACATCCCTACATACCTATCAGAATGGCTTCAATAAAAAATAGTGACAACTCTAAATTCTAGCAAGGATGTGGAAAAACTGGATCGCTCCTTCCTCCTAATGGGAATGTGAAATGGTGCAGCAGCTCTGCAGAACTATATGGAAGCTTCCTAAAAATCTAAATTGTAGTTATGGTACAAGATCAGCAATTGTACTCTTAGGCATATATTTCAAAAATATGAAAACTTATGTGGACAGAGAAATATGAATATACAAATATTGATAGCACCCTTATGCTATTTAGCCCCAAAGTGAGAACAGTCAAGATGTCCTTCAATGGGTAGATGGATAAACAGACTTTGGTACACCGGGACCATAGAATACTACTTAGCAATGAAAAGGAATGAGCTCTTAATGCACACAACAATTTGGATGAATGTACAGGGGATTATTCAGAGTGAAATTATGCCAATCCTAAAAGGCTACATACTGTGGCACTCTATTTTTTATTTCTATATATAATTTCTGAAAAGACAAAATTTTAGAAATGGAGAATCAATTAGCGGATGCCAGGGTTTAGGGTCAGTGAAGGGCACTTCGGGGGGAGGAGGTGGATGTTGTTACAAAAGGACAACAGGAGGGATCATTGTGGTGATGGTGTTGGCTGTTGTGGTGGTATGATATGAACCTACTCATGGGGTAAAATCATATTTATCTAAATACACACACACACACATACACACACACACACAGAAATTAGTACAATCACCTGGGGAGTCTGAATTTGAAAATGGACAATGATTTGATTAAACTCTTCACCAGAAATCATACACCGATGGCAAATAAACACCTGAAAATGGTCAACATCACACATCACTAAGGAAATAAAAATTAAAAACATTATGAACTACCACTATAGATATATTAAAACAGCTTAAAAAAATCCTGACAATCTAGTGATAATGAAGATGTGTAATAACTGGAAGTCTTGTAAATGTCTGATGATAATGAAAATGCAAAATCAAGCATCCACACTGGAAAACACTTTGGCAGTTTCTGAGAAAGTTCAATATGTATGTACCATATGATCCAGAAATTCCATTCCCATGTATTTAACTATGCAAAATGAAAACTTACATTCAAACAAAAACCTATAACAAATGTTATAAGGTTTATTTGAAATGTCCAAAGAGTGGAAACTGGAAACGACCAAAATGTTACTTCACTGGGGAATGGATAAACAAACTGTGGTTCATCCATGCGAAGGAATTCTACTTAAAATGTAATAAACTATTAACATATAACATAGAGTCATCTAAAATGTATTATACCTAGTGAAAGAATCCAGAACCAGAAGGCTACCACGTATGATTCCATTTATATGACATACTTGCAAAGACCTAACTATAGGGACAGACAACAGATCAGGAGTGTGGGGTGGCGGGTGGACTGACGGTGTGATTACCAAGAGGTCTGGAGAATTTATGGACAAAGATTAAACTGTTTACATCGTGATTGTGGAAGTGCTTACACCTCTGCACACTTTTATTAAAACTCACAGAACTGCTCACTAAAAAGGGTGGGTTTTAGTGTATGTGAATTATAACTCAATAAAGAAAATAAAAAGAGAAAATGAATGATGGTGAAAGTTCCCAGGAGCCAACTCTCACATAGATACTTGTGTGCAGGAAGTCTAGATGGACCAGAGAACACACCCAAGGAGAGGAAGGGAGGAAGGGAAGACACTGACCTGTGAGATCATCACAGCAAGGCCGGCAGTGAAATACACAGGAGCTCTGGTGCTGGGCCTGCTCTTCAGATCCCACTGAATGGGGTGGGCCCTGACTCTATCCCACCAGACACACAGGTCATGAGATGCAGGTTGCCACCAGGAAGGGGAGTGTCCCCGCTGTGCCAGCTCTCTTCAGCAGAATCAAGTCCTGGAGCTGTAGCTCAGACACCACAGCATCTGGGGAATGAGGACTCCATCCTGCAGGGGAGGGGCTAGGATTCTGGTTATCACAGAGGACACCTAGGACAGTGACAGTTGGTGTTATGACCATTAAGGAATAAAGACACACACACACAATGGATAAGAAAAGACAAGGAGAATACGCTGCATATACAAGGAACAGCATAGACTAAAGAAATACTGGAAGAATTAAACAGAACATGACTAATTTTTTTTTATTTTATTTATTTATTTTTTCCCCAAAGCCCCAGTAGATAGTTGTATGTCATAGTTGCACATCCTTCTAGTTGCTGTATGTGGGACGTGGCCTCAGCATGGCCAGAGAAGCGGTGCGTCGGTGCAC